CATACAAAATAGAAGAAAAATCAACTCGTTAGGGGCAAACTTGTCTATATTTAGTCAACTAATAATTTTGTTATACCAAATATGAAAGAAGGGAGGTAAACGTAATATCGTGAACCACAATGGGATGTTAGTATTATGAAACCAAATTTGAAGGGAGGTCTCGAAATTATCTCTATTTAATATTATTTATGATGCAAGTTGTATATCGATTGGCAAGTACAAAATATATGTATTAGAATAGGATTTATGAGATCTTTGGATAACTTGCTTTCAACTTTTATATTTTAAAATAAATTCTTGAGAAGAGTAAAATCCTTAATTCTAGATGATTTTATCATACAAGTATTTTAAGAAAGACATAATGTATGATAATATAATTTTTATACCAGAAAAGAGAACTGGATAACTGATACCCTCCTAAGTCCCAATTTGCAGAACTGTGCTAAAAATATATATTGATATTCCCATTGGGTCTGTTAAAGCGAAGCGTAAGATCAACCAAAACAAAGAAGATATCAGTTCTTTTAAAAAAAAATTACCATTAAAGAAAGAACAACAATAGCAATGTACTGTATGCTGATATACTTGATGAATTCTCCATTAGATGTATTAAGTTAATCTTTAAGAGAAAATTCATGTAATTAAGAAATTAAATGACCTCTGGAAAGACTTATGTCCTTTGAGTGTAACAAAAGATGATGAAGCGCATTATTAAAGAATGTCATTATCAGGATGGGTAAATAGTACACTGGAATAAGAAGACAAGCTGACTGTCACGACCCGAATTTTCCACCCTCGGGAGTCGTGATGGCGCCTACTCGTAGAAGCTAGGCAAGCCACGAAATTATAAATTCTTAACTCTTTTGTTTTAATCCTTTTCACAACATACATTAACAAGTGATAAACATTTAAATAACAGCGGAATATGAGATTTAAGCGGAAGACTTAGACAAAATGAATCAAAATGATAAGAAAATCCACATATGTCTCTACCCAGAAACTGGTGTCACATCATTCACGGACTACTAAGATTACTACATACAACGGTTTGAAAGAAAGCAACACTGTCTTCCTCGGATACAAGAGATAACAGAACATAATAAAAGATAGAGGAGACATCGGGCCCGCGGACGCCTGCAGGGCTACCTCGGTGTCTCAGTGGACTGAAGGCTGGCTCCCGAACTACTGCTGCTGTCCCAATGCTGCCTCGGTATCTGCACAGAGTGCAGAGTGTAGTATCAGCACAACCGACCCCATGTGCTAGTAAGTGCCTGGCCTAACCCCGGCGAGGTAGTGACGAGGCTAGGACCAGACTCCAGATAAACCTGTGCAGTTATATATATATATACAGCGGAAAGATAAACTAGAGCAAACAATTAAAACTGGGAAGGGGAAACATGCTTCGGGGGAATAACAGATAAAACAAAATTCAAGAGGATTATCAGAATAAAAACCAAAATTTAACTGCTAACAAGGATAATGAAAAACAAAGGCAGATTTCACTCTCGGTCCACATCTTGTTGCAGGCGTGCAACCCGATCCCATTTTATTACATCTCGTGGTAGGCGTACCACCCGATCCCATTTCATCATATCTCGTGGTAGGCGTACCACCCGATCCCATTTCATAATATCTCGTGGTAGGTGTACCACTCGATCCCATTTCATCATATCTCGTGGTAGGCGTACCACCCGATCCCATTTACAAGCCAACACAAAATCACAAGGAATCCCGGCAAGGGAACAAGGCAATATAATAACTTCCTGGCAAGGGAACAACAATATCAAGACAAACATCCCGGCAAGGGAGAATTAGCTATAACCAATCCTAACTCAACTCCTACTCAGCTCAATTAGTACCAACACTCAATCATAAATAAATTCCACGAAAATAAGCTAAATCTTTGCTCAATATCGAGAACCATCAATTATAACATCCGTAGTAACATTTAAGAACACAATAACTATCAATTCAAGACTCACGGTCATGCTCGACACCAACGAATAGATACTCGTCACCATGCCTATACGTCGTACTCAACAAGAAGCAATTAGCAAATAGGACACAACTCCTAATCCCTCAAGCTAAGGTTAGACCGGACACTTACCTCAAACTTTCACGGCCAACTCAATCCTCAAATACCGCCTTTCCTTTCGAATTTGGCCCCAACACAATCGTATCTATACATAATCGACTTAATAACATCAATAAATGCTAAACAATCCAATTCCAGTGCTCAATTATAGATTTTTAATAATTCTTCCCAAAAATCCAAAAATTGACCCCGGGCCCGCTTGGTCAAAACACGAGGTTCGGACCGAAACCGATCACCCATTCACCCCACGAGCACGAATATATCATTTATTTTGAAATCCGACCCCAAAACGAGGTCAAATTTCCAAATAATTAAAAAGCCCTAATTTTGTCTCAATCAATCAAGAATGCCTCAACTGGATAAATTCACTTTTTTCACACTCTACCCATTTCCCCAATTTTCTACCATTAAAACCCTAAAATTATTGATAAAAGTTGATGAAATACATTAGATAATTGAAAGAAATCAGTTAGTGAGTGTTTACTTGTAATTTGGGAAGAAAATCCCTTGAGAAAATCGGCCTAGTCTTCTATTTTTTTGAGAAAGTTTGAAAGAAAATCGCTGAAGTTATGTTTTTAAAAAGATTCACTGCCCGACTTCCGCATTTGCGGCTCAGGGGCCGCATCTGCGCTACCGCACGTGCGGAAAAGTGGCTGCGGAAATGGCTAGGCCCCGTTGGGGCCGCACCTGCGAGAAAAGGCCCGCTCCTGCGGAACCGCTTCTGCGGAAAAATGTCCGCATCTGAGAAGCTAGACCGCATCTGCGACCCACTGTGCGCACCTGCGTGTCCGCATCTGCGGCCAAAGGACCGCAGGTGCGGTTACACCAGAACTGGTGCAACAGCAGTGTTTCTGCAACTTTTCTAAGTCTAAAACTTCCCGAAACACACCTGAGCCCTCGGGGCTCGTAACCAAACATACGTACTAACTCAACAACATCATACAAACTTATCCGTGCGATCAAATCGCCAAAATAACCTCTCAAACAACGAATTAAACCTCAAAATCAAAGAATTTTTCTCAAACTTCATAAAGCATCAAATTTTCCATTTTATGTCTGAATCACGTCAAACGGATTTCGTTTTTCACCAAATTTCACAGAATCATCTTAAATCATATATAAGACCTGTACCGGGCGCCGGAATCAAAATACGGGCCCGATACCAACATGTTCTAATCAAATTTCATTTCAAATCCTTTAAACAATTTCAGAAAATAATTTTCTTTAAAAATTCATTTCTCGGGCTTGGGACCTCGGAATTCAATTCCAGGCATTCGCCTAAGTCCCATATTTTCCTACGGACCCTCCGGGACCGTCAAATCACGGGTCCGAGTCCGCTTACCCAAAACGTTGACCAAAGTCAAAATAACTCATTTTACAACCAAATATTACCATTTTTCATCGATTTTCATATTTAAGCTTTCCGGCTACACGCCCGGACTGTGCACGCAAATCGAGGTAAAGATAAAAGAGGTTTTTAAGGCCTCAAAATCACAGAATTAAATTTAAAATAAGTGATGAACTTTTGGGTCATCACACTGACGTAGTTTATTTTCCATTGAGATCGTTACAACTTACAGTTCCTTTTATTTTTAATCTCGAGAAGGAACTCATGTTATGAAATTACTTTAAAAAAAATCTTAACCAGATTTAACATACAAAGTTGTTGAAGTAAATTACGCACTCTGCCAAAGCTCAAATGCTACTACATGCATCTGTGCGCTTGCTTCCTCTGCGAGTTTGATGCTTCGTTTATGTCTAAACCTGTTAAGTTAGATACATGAAACTAATCTTTGAGAAAAAATTATGTAACAAACAAAACTAATAGATTACCTCTAGAAGATTGATATTCCAAAACAATAAATACTACCTAATTTGTTTGAGGTAGACATATATAAATTATACAAAGTGTCCTTCTCCATGTCGATAAGTATTTAAAAGTGCTTGTGTCCATGTCGGATTGGTATGGAATTTCCACGTTATAAGTAGAACACATATGGTAAATAGATGAAAAGTTGGAACGTGATTGATATTAGAAGTTTGTTCAAATTCATAATTATTTCCAACTTTACCACTTTTTAGTTGAATTTGAAGTTCTCGATATTGGTAGAGTAGGAATTTATACGCAATGTATGTGGAGTTCAAATTGAAAAAGAATTCCATCATTAGGTAATTTATAAGTAGATCCTTAAATTATAGATAGATAAATATAGATATAGATAGATATAAGAGAAAAGATATGAAATTATAAGTTGACACTTGACATTTGTTTTAGAGTTTTGTAAGAATTGAGTTTGCAATTTATTTTTTGAAACTCTTAAGAATGTGTATCTTTTATATGTTTTGGAAATGAAAAGTATTTTTTTAAAAAATATTTCTAATTAAAATCTTAAATCCTAAGAAAAATCTAAAACTTTGAACTAATTTTTGAGTTTTCAAGAAAATTCAAAAATTGAGATAAGAAATCTTCAAAAAAAAATCAAAAGGAATTTTTTTTTCTAATAATTCAAAATAAGTTCGCAACCAATATTTGAAAAGTGGTGAAATAAAAATACTATTTATTTAAAATTCGAAAGATAAGTACCACCTAAATTCTAACAAAGGAGTGGTCCATGCGTGAGGCTTACATGTAATAATAAATCTTCATGCCCGAAAGTAATTACACTAATAGGTTTCTTAAAGGTGTAGTATTATGTCCTAAAACTAACAGGATTATAAGGTTAATATCTAGAATTTCGGTTATGTCCTTTTATTATGAGTTATTATGCTTAATATTATAAGGTTATTTTTGTATACCGACATTGCATTCATGCTTTTATAATAATATAGATAGATGAATTATTTGTTCTTAGTGGCTTTTTATTTACCAGAATTTTCATCTTAAAAATTTGTATTATAGGCTGAAATGGAAAAAATTGAAACACAACAAAGTGAAGATGGTAGCAGTTTTGTTAATCATTTGCAGCTGTTATGGGAGCTGAACATCCGGGACGTCTTAGATTGTATGGACGAGGGGTTACAAGAACTTCTTTGAAAGGAAAAATGGGATATTTTGAATCCTCTTCAAATGCTACAAATGATCTGGTGCAACAAATGGAAGAAAGGATGACAAGAATGTTCGAGGAACAGAAGGAACAATTTGAGAAACAGAAGGAACAAAAGAGAATGATGCGACAAGAAATTTTAGGAGATATCTTTGTACAGCTTCAGCGTTCAGGATTGCAAATTGATCCTAATATTTTAGCAAACTTGTGTGCTCGTTCATCAGGAGAAGCTTCGTCCGCACAACAAGTAGCTATTCAACCAATCAACAGGTCATCTTTTGGCAGCAACAATCAAGGTTCGAATTCTTTTCGAGATTAGTTATAGATTGGTTGTGTGCGAAATCTGTATTTCTCAAAAACAGAGACTGATTTCTCAGATGCAGAGACTGCTTTCTCAGAAACAGAGACTGATCTCTATTTTCCTCTTTGTTGTGTGCGCAATATGTATCTCTCAAAAATAGAGACTGATCTCTCTTTTCCTTTTTGTTGTGTGCGCAATCTGTGTCTCTAAAAAATAAAGACTAATCTATGTTGCATACTCTTTTGTTGTGTGCGCCATCTGTGTCTCTCAAACTACTATCCTTTGCTACTTCAAATTAATTGATCTACTAGTGTTTCATTGTGCTACTGAAATTTTAAAACAAATAAGCAAGACGACCATATGGCAGTGGCTGAAGCCGAGGTTTTAAAACAGAATACTAGTTCTTAGTCGTTCTGATGGTTTAGCAGTCTTTTTTCAGACTTCTGTGGCGTATTTTAGGAATTTTAGTAACTCAGTTTGATTAAACAATTCTGCTTCGTTGATAAGTAATTTGCTCTTTTTCTTACCTGTGATTCAGTCTTAATCTTAGTGATTGTCTCTGATAATGATGTTAATAAATTGATTTCCATACTAGTATATCATCGGCGGAACTGATTATTGGCATTGTCTTTTTGCCCTCTGCTTTTAAGTTTCATCTCTTGCTTGCAATGGAATGCCTTCATTAATCTTTCTATTTGTGTTGGCTTCGTGTGCTGTTCACTCTTAGGCTAGGAGAAGAAATTGTGCCTTGCCTTGCACTCTGAGTCAATATGTGTCGAAGTTGTTGGATCGAGCTGCTTCTATCTTAGAGAAAAGTTATGACGACCTCGTTTGTGGTTTGTCGGGTTCAAGGTCAATATTTGACACAATTGGGACCATTCGTTTGACTTGTATCTTTTTTTCTGACACAGTTTTAGTTTGTCCTTATGCTGTCCTTTTCTGACCATACTCTCTTTCACATTTCTAAGTAAAAAGCTAAGTATCTACGCTCTAATAGAGAATGTAAAGTAGCATTGGCAGGCATGATTTTGCAACCAGTGTTATGGGTTGGTGGCCCAAACACACCAGTTTGAGGGTGAGGAGCCAGTACTTGTTGAAATAAGTCTCAAGATCCAACACTGATGCGTGCACTGCCCTCCTTTATCTTATATTTTGCATACTTGGACTTCTTTTGGTGTAACATTTTGAGGGTGACTTTTTTTTTTGGTGTAACATTTTGCATACTTGGACTTCTGGTTCTTTTTTGTAGCTTGATTTTCTGAAGTGGCAATGCCAATTTCATCTTTTGTTTTGTCTTCTAAGTACTTATATTATTTTATTGGTGTTAATATATAGTGCAATAATAATGATATTGAGAAGGCAATATTTTTCTTTTTCCTACCCTCTAACTATTTTTGTTCTTGTTGAATTTACAGGTGAACCAAATGATCAAGGTGGAGATGAAAGCAGTGAAGACCTTACCTAAAAGTATTGATTGAAGAATCTTCAGACAATCTAGGAATGCTTTTATTTTTGAACTATTTTGCAAACTTATGTATTCCAAGGGTTATTAAACACTTTTATCGTATATTTTACTTTTATAAATGGATAATCGTAGTTGTATATTTTGAATTATGATTCAGTTTATGAATATATTTTTATTTCATCCGTTATATATTAATTTCAGTGTATTATACATTTATCTTGTTGCGGTACCGTTAATAGCTTCCAACAGCAGTCACAGTAGCTCAGTATAACCATTGCATCAGCTTGTAATAACCGTTCCAACAGGTAAAACAAAAAAATATATAAAATGTTGTAATTTCTATGGCAACGGTTCTCAGTCGTCGCAATACACAAATAGCGGCGGTTCAAAACCGTTGCCATAACTCACTATTAATCGTTGGATTTGATCATGATAAAACCGTTGTAGTAGATGTGCCTATGGCAACGGTTATGAAACCGTTGCTTGAAGCCCTTGCAATAGACCAATAGCGATACAAGATCCCGCAACAGACGCTAAACCGTGGCACTAGCTTTATCGCGGCGGATTTTTTCTCTATGGCAACGGAACGTGTGGCGTTGCCTTAGGCTTATTTTCTAGTAGTGGTTCATATATGATCACAAGCATGATTCGGTAACCTCTTTTTTCTTCTTTTTGTTCTTAGCACAATCTCTAAACAAATTCATTTAAAGTTAGCACACTAAAATTTTAACAAAGTAGAAAATATTTTTAAAAAGGTACAACAAATTTATCTACTTTCTTTCTATTTAGTTTAAAAAAAGTTTATTAACCCTAAGATATTTAAATACTTTGTTATTACTAAGAAGTTGTTACTTGCGGAAAAAAGAGAATTAAAAAGATTTCTGAATACTAAACCAATAATAGTGAAAAAAGAGCTATACACCAAAGTACAAAATTTAGTATGAAACAATTAAGCATTAATAATTAAATTAAACTAACAGATTATAAATGATTTCAGTGAATATACTTGCATATTTTATCAACATTTATGAAAGAAAGAAACAAAATTCAGTTTGTAAGTAGGTTTAGTTTTTTTTTAAAGCTGATTAAATTATGGAATAGTTTTATTGTATTCAACAGTGGCGAAGCCACATGATCACTGACCACAATGGTTTAAGTGTGGGTGTTAATGATAGGCTATAGTTGCATATTTTAGTCGCTTATTACACTCGAATTTACTGCACTTTAATTGAGTTTGCGCTTTAATCGCTAGTGTTTTGAACTAATTGTGTGTTTTATGCCTTGTAGGTGTGATTCCGAGCTATATAGATGTTATGGAATGAATTTAAGTGATTTGAAGCTTTGAAGTCTGAGTAAAAGCTCAAGGAATTAAGCCGGGATCGTGTTCGGGGGTCAAATTTGATAATTAAGTACGAACGAAGACTTGAGGAGGCATATTGCGCACTGTCTAGTAAAATAGACATAACTTTTTGCTCAGAACTCCATTTGGGCTCCACAATATATGGTTGGAAAGCTAACTCAAAGGGCTACAACTTTTATCTTTTATATTTTTCCAAATTCCAAATGTAACAGGGTGAAAAACCGCGGTTCCACCGCGATCGCGGCAGAACCGCGGCAGAGTGTACTCGCGGACAACTGAAGAATCAGAGAGTATGTTTGGCCGCGGTTTGACCGCGACCGCGGCAGGAAGCGAAAATTTCAGGGACTAAAGTGCAAAACATGGGATTTTAAGTCCTAAACCCTATATTAAACAAAGGAGGCCGGCCAAGAACAAAGGGGGGACATATTTTGGACATAGATTCGACCTAAGGAGGCAAGAACACATTGGGAGCAAGGTGGAGAATTCTTCTACGAGTTTTTCCTTCCTCTTCCTATTTTTCATTGTTGGTTATGACTTTTAGTATTGTAGTTTTACATACTATTATGAATAGCTAATTTGTTATCTAGAGTTTTGATAGAACCTTTTGTAGGATAAATTCTTGTTATGTTTTTATATAATTGAGCCATAGCTTTTCTCTATTTGTTCAACTACATTTACATTGTGGTTGGTTGAAGAGCTCTCAATTAGCTGTGCCTTTTTGGTATGCATAACTCGGGAGAGAGTGCATATTTAGGTAATTGTTAAACAACACCACTTCTAAAGTATATGAGGGATCAATAACCGAGGGTTTAAAGGCGGGATTAGGGATAACGAAGCCTTGGGTGCGATCTGAAGTGAGCTGTGTTAAAAGCCAGCTAGCGTAGCTCGGAAGAGTGCGTCTAGTAAATTGTCGTAATTACTCGGGAGAGATTTACGGTAATAAGAGTACTCATGATCGGTAGAGAATACTTAGGTGAAATTATAGAAGACATAGCGGGAAGGATTCCGACAATTGGGGAAATCATAACTCTAGATCTCCTTAATCTTTTCTATAACCCTCAGTATCGTTAGTTGTTAATTTACTATTTTAATTTATTAGTTAATTGGTTAAACACAAGAATCTTAATATCTATAAGTTAGGAATTGTTCAAGCTTGTCTCCTTGGTGATAGTGAACAACTGTAGCTAAACCTTAGTTCTCTATGGGATTCGACTCCGGACTTGTAAACCGGATTATATTTGCAGCGACCGCTTAGTCCTTTTTATAAGGCATAGTTGGGCGAGATCAAATTTTGGCGCCGTTGCCGGGGAACTAACGGTGTAGTTGTAGGTGTACATATTGCTAGGTTTCAAGTTTGAACTTTTATTTTATTATTCGATTTGTTTAATTTTTTTATTTTAGTTTTATTTGTTTATTTGAGAAACATGACATCATGGAATTATGAGAATTTTGTTGTTGGTAATTCTACTTTTGATCCTCCTTATGCATATTGTGAAGGAAACCACCCAGGGCAAAATTATCAAAATATTCCTGAGAGCGAGTTTTGTGCACCAACTCAATCTTATGTGTGGAATGTGTGTGATATGTGTGGTGGTCAAGATGACTTTCACGGTTGTGCTTATATTTCTTACCTTCCCCCAACCCCTTACTTTGATGGTTCTTCTTTTTCTGGTGAAGTTAATAGGAACAAAGAACCTAGGGAAGCTGACCTAAAGAAGCTCGAAGATATGTTAAAGTGCATTTTGGAACAACAGAGTAAATTACTACTGCGGATAGAAAGGCAGGAAGAAACTATTCACAACTTGAAAGTTTGCATGAGTCAACTGGTTGAAGTTCTTAATGCTCAACAAGCCAATATTGTGAATAGTATCCAAGAAGAGCGTGAATTAGATACAAAAATTGATGAGCTAGAGGAGGAGGCTAGAGTAGAACACCAACAATCAATCACACTAGATTTTGAGGATGTCGATGTTGTAGAAGAGATACTAGAGTCAACCAAGGATATTGAGGATACATATTTAGTTGACTCTATTGTCATTAGTGTTGAGAATGTAGATAGTCCCAATGTTCATGTAGTTGAGTGCATTGGTCCTCACTCCAAGCATTTTTCCACATTGTGTTTAGATGATGATATGGAAATAGAGTCGTCCGAGCCATTTGAGGAGTCGAGGAATGAGGAACAAAGTGCTTACATTCTGGAATTCTTCTTGCCAGAAAATCGGGATTACAGACCTCATCTAAAGGCCAAGAAGTGCAGAATACTACATTATTTTATTGGGCTAGCCAGATTCGTTCCACCACCCCAGGAGCATGATCATAGAGCAGAATCAAAACTTGGGGTCCGATTCATAAGTTCAAAGTGGAGGCAGAAAGTGATTCACGTCGTGCCGCGACGTTAAATCAAGCGCTTGTTGGGAGGCAACCCAGCTTTATTGCTTTTTTTTTAATTGTATTATTGTTGTAGTGTCAATTTTTTTTATTTTATAGGAGCATGGAAAGCAAAGGTATTGGAAGGATGCATCAGCAAACCAAATGGTTGGAACTAAGTGTGAGGTACCCACACGAAGGACCAAGCTCGGGAGAAGTCTGAGTACCCCATGAACTGCTAGTGCTTCGGCCTTTGGCCTACCAGGGAGTTTCTTTTACCCTCTTGTATGTATGGGTGTGCATTGGGGACAATGCACAATTTTAAGTGTGGGGTGAGGAGATTGTCTGGGTGATTTTTCATGCTACTTTAGCTGTGTGTTTTTTTTTAAAAAGATTGGACTTTTCCTGATGACGGATCTTCTAGACAGTTTTCTTGAGGGAAGTAAGTCTAAAGAAAATACCGAAAAGATTTTTTGTTTTGTTAGGTAGTGTAGTAATTACCCCTTGGTTTTTCTTTAAACCACGGTTCTTTTCCAAGGGTTTTATTTGAACCGGGTGTAGTTAGTTTTTTTTTGGAATAGGAGCCATTGTGTTTTGTTTTGAAATGAAGCAATATCTCTTGACTTTGTTATGCCTTGAGAATAGTGAGTACTTTGGCTGTGACGCTTAGGCTCAGTTTTTGACTCTTGTATAAGTACCTTAAATTGTATGATCTTAAATTTGCTTAACTGCTCTGACTAGAGTGTCTTGATGAATCCAATCCTGAGTGAGTTATGTGCCATGTGTGTGTGAGGTTTGGTGTTATTCTGTGCATTGCATTTGATGCCTAGAACTTGCCCCGTGTGTTTGCAAAGCAAAATAGTAGTTTTATTCAGTCTAGGAAGTGATATAGGCATTTCTTTGTTGAGCCAGATATGCATATTTTACCCGCCTAATTATTATATATCGTAGTTAACCCCTTTGAGCCTGTAATCCTGTTTCTTTGGCAACCACATTACAAGCCTTACCCGTTTGTTTGAATTAACCATCTATTAGAACCTTTTCACCTCTCATGAGCACTTGAATTGTTATGAACTTTGTAAAAGTTAAAGTGTGGGGTGGTTGGTTTGGCTTTTGAGTGGAACTAATTGAATAAGGAGAAAGGTGCACTGTTTTGAAAAAGGAAGAGCCACTTGAATTGAAAAAATATATAGTTGGATTGTTGTGAAAAAAAAAAATCCTTGATAAGTGGTGGCTCTTGATGTAAGTGTGCTTAAAGAAGAATGGGGTAATATACATTGATGTGAAGGTGGAGTTTTGGTTTGACATAAGTATGGGGTTTGAATGTTAAAGTATATGTATTAAAGTGCTTAGGGAGGTGTAGTCACTCTTATATCTAAATGT